ATAAATATAGAGCAGGGGTCTCCGAATTTTTTTATAAGGCGGGCCAAATTTGAGATACGCTTTGGAAACGCGGGCCAACATTTTTATGTATGACTATTATAAGCTGTTATGAATAGCATCAAAAGAAAAAATAATAAATTTATTTGATTTAATTAATTCAATAAATTAAAAACAATGAAAACTAAATGAGAAATAATATATTATATATATTTTTTTCAAAACATTAATTAGTTTGGCGGGCTGTTTCCGGATTCAGGGAATTATTTGAAGAAAAAACATAATTATGTTGTTTTTTAAGGTTTAACTATATAACATTCATTAACATTTCTAAACAAATTCAAAAATTAATCACTTCAATAGTTTTTTACTTTTATTACAAAACTACTGTAAAAACACTTACTTAATTTTTTATAAAAATTATTTTGACTGAAAGTGTTTCAGTGGCGGATACAAATAGGGACCCATTTCGCCCCAATTTGGCTGTTTTTTACGTTATTTTGATATATTGGGCCAAAAAAAAGGCAATTTCATTTTTGAAAATTGGCACCCCCCCCCCCTTGTGGGTCAATTAGTGAAGTGTTAACCACTCCTACTTGAGATAACAGAAGTAACAAAAACAAAATACAAAGTATAAAGGACTACTACTATTCAATTCAGTTGTTTTGTGAATATATTTGTTATTGCGTAATTTTTAACTAAATTTAAAAAACAACTCTAGGCAACAATTAACCAAAAAAAATATTTAAAAAAATCGGAACAGCTATTTTTCCAGAAGCTCGTTTGGATATTAGGAAAAAAGTTCGAGGCAAAAAAATACGAAGACAATAATAAAACACTGCTGACTTATTATTTATAAGTCGAGCATATCCTAAAAAATTTCAAAGATAATCTGAGTTAAGTATTACTGGAGACAGGCCTTTGTATAAAAATCAACATTTTTTTAGTATGATAATTTCTGGTTCTGATGAAAAATGGTATGAGTTTCATCATAAACGTAAATGATTGGTTTAGTGATAGATATTTTTTTTTACAATTAAAATTATATAAAGTAAAAAAATACATATTTCTGTTCGCTGCATAGGTGCAATCAACAGTCACAACACAGATTTTTAATCATATTGTAGTTTAAAATATCAATTATCAGGGTCTGTCCTGCTGATACAATTTTAGCTCCCCCCCCCAGAAAATTTTTTTTGTTGCACAAATGGTCCGCTGTTGTTAATTTTTAATTAATATTAATTAAATGACAAAAACAAACAATACCTATGGGCTATGAGTAATTTATAATCAACGTTTTCATTTTAAATAATGTGGTTTTTGGACTTTTTTAAAGTTTATCACTCGTTTGTATCAAACCCCTACACCCAGCAAACAATAACTACAATAGTGCCTCTAAATATCCTGTCCACAAATCACCCCTAGTGGCCCTAGTTCATAACTCTCCTTAAAAAACAAAAAAAAAACGATTCGATAATAAGAATTATTTTTAACTTGTTCTCTATCCGACGACAAAACGTTTGCAAGCCACCGACAACATACGAAATTGTCATTACAGTGATTCGCCCAGTGTCAACTCACCTATTTCCACGGGACCCACCGGTACAGAGCCATGTTTTGATTTCACGTGTCTTTCGAGTTTGCTGTTGACCATATCCAACATGCCTAAATTGGCGTTAAGCTGCACGTAAAAGTCGGACGGGCTGTTTAAGTGCGACACGACTACGACATCGACTTGGTTTTTCACGATCTCCTTGACGACCTGCGATTGCAGTGGACAGTCGACGACGGAATCATCGGAAGTGTTGTCGTCAACAGAAGAGGCTCCGGCGTCAGGAAAAGTGGCTTCGGCGTCAGCAAAAGTGGCTCCGGCGTCAGCAAAAGTAGCTTCGGCGTCAGCAGAAGAGGCTCCGGCGTCAACAGAAGAGGCTCTGGTGTCAGTAGTAGAGGCGGCGGCGTCAGCAGAAGAAGCGGAGACATCACCAAAAACGGCAGCGGCCTCTGCACCGGAAACGGCCGAATAATTGCTGCTCATTGACATCGTCGAAGACAACATGCTCGAGACAGACGACGGCCGTGTTTCAGACAGCGCTATAACACATCACAAGACGGAATGTAAAGGTAAAATGTATACCCTACCTATATATACGAGATTTAATGATTACCTTTAATCATTTTATTATGATTGATATTTATATATTATGCATTGGCGTAACGCGTAATGAAGAGGACGTTGACAAACTTTTTTTTTTATAAGGATTAGTATGAGAACTTTTAACGAGAATTTAAATGTACTTAAAAATCCCAATCAAAAAAATTTTGTATAGGTACCTACTACCAATAGTCCCATGTCGTTGGCTCAAGCGATTTACGATTGAGCGCGGTAAAATAGCAATAAAATCAAAATAACCTACGTGCACCAAAAAATTTAAAAAAAAAATTATTTATTATTTATAATACAAAAACTTGGCAACGTCGCTACCAATTTTACGCAATGTCATATACGAAGGGTCAACGTTCAAGGTAAAAAAGTTATTTTAGTAATTTTAGTTATTTAAGTACAAACATTTTTAAAACATTTATATAATATAATATAGTGTCTTCTATAAAAAAAATAGATGAAAGGGGGGGGGGGTCCCTAACACTAGACTAAATGTCTACCCATGATTGATTTGTTGATATAAAGTGATAACGTCGAATGTCTCTTACCGTTGTTGTCATCCGAGTAAAGTCCGATCGTAGCGCTCAAGGTGTATTCGGGCAGAAGGTCGGGTGAACATCCCAGTACGTAACGATCGGATGTGTCGATATCGAAAGACACGGAACTCTGAACGGCAGCGTAAATATTTTCATCGAACATGATCGACGATTTGGTTTTGTTCTTCTTCGCCAAGTAATAAGTCATGTCCAACATGCGTTCAATGCCGGCAATGTGATCCAACATCGCGATGGACGAATAATTATTGTTCTTCAATAGCACGTCTAAGATGTTCAATTTGGTTTGCAGATCCTAGAAACGCCACCCCAGTCGAGCAAATATAATACAAATAAGTATTGGTACAATTATTATTACAGCATATAACGAGTGTAAAATCCTGCCAAGCTTATAAAAAAAAACCGGGGAACTCGCTCAACTGTGTATATTAGGTGTGAGTATTCGAATTGAATTCATTTTTAGGTGTACGAAAAACGATTCTGAGATAAGACTTGTTAGTCAGCCTAAGTAGATTTCTTAAGATATTTTATTATACATATTTTTATTGATATCAGTAAAGAAAAACAATATTTCTACCTAAAACCAATTTTCCGTTAAAATTCCAATTCATCCCTATTTTTGTTTTGTTTTCATAATTATTTTGAAAAGCACAAATATTTTTTCGCCAATGTACTAACTACAGTTTATTTCAAGAACCACCCTCAAAGTTCAAGATTGAAACATTTTTAATGATAGAAAAGCTGATGACTGACAAAAGAAACACATCATTGTAAAACATATTTAATAATTATTGATCAGGGTAGGTAAAAAACAGGGTTTCGAACGATTTGCAATATTATAATGAAAACGTACAAAGTAAAATTAACATTCAACAGGTTTTTATAAAAACATATAATTATTATTATTTCATTCTAGGTCTATTGATATATTATTTTGATGTAATTGATAGTCAACAAATTACTTTTATCCAAATATTTGTTTAAATTTAATTATTAATCACATGATTTGGACGGAAAAAAGTGGATGAAAAACTCCGCATATTGGATAAAATGTTCTAACATTGCATTATCGCGCCATATACATGGATCGAAACTATACACTGCACAAGTCAAGACATAATAAAAACATATTCTATAAATAATTATTCTTACGTCTATGAAACTGCTTAGTTGGCCAACCACATGGGTCATAGAGTTGGAGGAAGACTGTTCGGCTTGATCAATCATCGAAAATAACCGTTGTTCCAAACACTGTAAAGTTCCAATTACAGAAGATACGTATGTTGATATACTTTTTCTATACTGTTCGTTTTTATTTTTCTTAAAATTAGAACATCGATGTTTTTGCACCTTTTCATTGAATTTCTAAAATAAAATAAAAATAATTACGATTAACAAAAAATAACAGGTATATAGCATAAATTGTGTTTATAATCAATGATAATTGATAATAATACGTGAATAATTTGTATATCTTATTAATTATTATTATTATTATTGTATTAAAATAAATATAGACACTAAGTGACTTAAACAGAACATTGTAATTTGTAGGTAGGTATAGAAAATTAACGATGAGCGAGATAAATATTCTTTGGTGCTCTGGTAAACCAGAAGAATATTTAATCAAGAGCAATTTTTTGAGACTAAAATTAACTGTATTTAATTTACTTAAATTGTTTCTCAATGTCAGTTACAGATCAACTACATTTTAGTTGTATTATCGTTAATTTTATACAGATTAGACACGTAATAATATACTGATTCTTCGTATTATTTTAATACATTTTTTTCTCTACTCGGCCATATAATTTACATTAATAAATACCCCGATTAAGTTAATAGTTACAATTCGTATGCTAACCTTTTCTACGATATACGTTTAAAGAGTAAGCGCATTATATAACCATATAATATATTATTTTGGTTTTTTTTTTTAAATATATATGCGTAGGTAACAAAAAATATTTTGTTACAAACCATTACCATATGTTATTATAATGATATTGATACAATATAGTGTATTATATTATGTTTATAGGGTATCAATACCCTTCCACTCCACTTCCCCTTCCGGATCTTTTCTTATTGCTCTTTCGAGTGGCCGAGGCCACGTTAAAGCAGTCTCATGACCGGTCATGGGCCTAGCACGAGTGAGCCGTCAACCGGCTTCCTTGTATGTTCTCGATAGACATGCGTACGATTCTTTTCTCGATGAAACTTAATCGTTACATGTTCGTTTAGAACAGTTTTATAAAACTTAATTTATTAAATTTAACAATTAAACCATGTATTTTTTAAATTTATTTAATATAATTTTAGTGTGCTCGGTGCTCTCGGTCATCTTCATATCAAACATCGGTAAGTGATATATTTATAATACATAATTGTAAGCTTATGATAATTAAACAAATTATTAATTAAAAATCAGGGTTTTATCCAATCCAAGAATTAAATTAAAAACAGATGGCCGCAATAATATGTGCATTTATGATTTAGAGTATTTCATACTTTTCTTATTTATCTACGTAATTTTAATTTAATTTAATTTAAAGCTATCTAAAATATTATGTTTATGATGCTAATATGGTTTATTAAATAGAGCGTGTAATTAATATTTATGAAAAATTACACTTTAAAATGTCATTAATATTAAAAATGTGATCTGCCAACGTAGGTATAATAACTATAAAAACCAATTTATTGCCACACACAAATATTATAATAATATGATTTTAGTCAAAAAACAATATGTATAACCGTTAACATTATTTGTCCATTTAGAGTATTTTTCTAGTCTTAGTTAAATCAATCTGTATACATAACAATGTGGTAGGCATGGGCAGTGTGTTTAGAAAGGGAGAATTTAAATCAGAGTGTCATATAATAAGAACTATATGTACTTAGTATAACTTTAAAGTACACCATTAGACGCGTTGTTTGTATCTGAATGAACGACTCACAAAGAAACAGGTTTCCAGTATAAGTTATTATTTGGAATATCGCCAGTCAAAGTGGGGTGGGAGATAACGAAACCTGTTCTTTGGAGTTTGAGCACCCTAGATTTAATGCAGGAATAAAAAGGACGAAAATAAATAGACCTTTTTGTCAATTCAAACATAATTTGCAAATTTTGGGCACAAGGTCTCGTAGGTGTAGGTGGAGGTAGCTTTTTTCGAAAGGTTTTGGCCACGCCCCCGAGTCACGTATCTAGAACACTCGGCACACACAGCTTCGGGGCAAGCACGACTTCGTTATTAATAACGATTGTGATAAAATAAAAAGAATAACATAATAAAAACGCCCACCAGGCGCACACAGACAGTGGAAAGTGACGAAAAACGGGAGTCTAAAACTCGAGAGTCCCCTAATAATATTAAGGTCGAAACTATAAACACCGTGACTATAATATACAATAGCCTAAAGTTTGAACTCTGATGAACAATAAAAACAATTTTATTACATAGGTCGGGTGGTAAGCGATCGATTACTTTATCATCGGATCATCGTTTCCTCAAAAGTGATTAACCTCGATAACTACACACATGTTTATCACATTAAACTTGAGTTGTCATTGACTTGCAGTCGCTTCTTTGGATTGGCTGCAAGCACAATACAATGATCCAACACACATACACACACACACAATCGGTTAGGAGATAATAAAATATATTACTATTATATATTATACAGTCTCATTAATACGTGGACACAAGATCCACATATTACACCCGTCAAGTAGGTATAATTCGGGCTATAATAATAAATATGACCCGTGAGGTCACATTTGTGTTCGGGCGCACGCCAACGCGTGCCTAAGAATTATTATGAAACATAGAAAATAAAAACGTTACGGAGCCACTTTCAAATGGGTCTATTATTCAACGTTTGACCCGAGACACAGACAGTGTCGGTTTGAATTGACAATGTAAATACGCATAAGTGGCACATATAATAATAAAGCGATGTATAGTAATTTGATTTGATAAATAAATAATGTTGTGTGGTTGTGTACAGGAGGTTCGGAAGATGGCAAGAAATCGAAGAGCGCCAGAGCGTTGGAGACGCGAGACGCCGGAGGAGACGACGATGCGGACGGTTTGGACCAAAGAGATAAACTCGAGGACGACGACGAGGAAACGACCAAAGTACCTCCGGGATTTCTGAGTCCGTCCGTGAGGGAATACTTGGAACTAGGAAGGTCGATTCCAGGTATAGTTGTCATGCTATTTACACGGTTACAGGTTAGATGACCGAATTACGGTTACACCAGAAATCGGGTTAGTTGCGATATATTGTCATCCTTAATATTAATATTGAATAATTGTTATAATATAATAACAGTGATTAATCTTTGCGAGACATGAGTCGGCACTACTAACGTATACTGAATAATGAACATACTACCTAATAATGTGTCACCGCTGCCCCGCTGCCAAATAATTGATATGGCAGCCAGCACGCGCGCAAATATTACCTAATGGTTTTGTTAACACGTTATTCAATGTAATATCATTCGAGAGAAAGCTAATTGAAGATCCATGATCAGTGGTTCAAAAATTGCTGTTAACCGAAATTCTAGGCCTTTGCATGATATCGAGAAAAAAAATTAGAGAGCAAAAATGTAACCAGGAGTTTTTGCATAATATGATTTTATGCCTGCAAGATTAATACTCGAATTTGTACAATTATTGAAATCGATACAACTACGAAATAGTTGTATTAACTATTTTATTTGATAATCTGACAGCTTAATAAAGTTTATATAGAAAAGATTTAAAAAAAATTTGAAAGAATGCGCGGCTTCACTTTTGATTCGTTGTTTTATTTTGTCATCATATCTATAAGTGCGTATTATATTATATTTAAAACACGTTTCAAAGGTAAATAGTCAAATATTCATCATAAAAAATTAAATTTTAAAAACGAGCACTGTTTTTGTTATATTTATGAGTAGTTGATTTCAAAATAAAATATCTAGTTTACGAATCCCTCATACTTTATCAAATATGACGGCAACAATGATAAAATTGAACATTAAAATATACAAGTATAGACATATAGGTTTTTGATAAAGTTACGCAACCAATCGAATGCGAATGAAGGTACGATGCCCATATTTTAATATTAAGCTTCACACGTAATAATATTAAGCACGCGCTGAATATTAAAATAAATATTAACACTTTCTAAGAGTGCTGCTGACGATACGAATTCGACAAATTTCAACGAAACGTGGATATAAATTCAATTCGGGAGATAGAGGAAAAAACATTTTGTTGACAAAATTTTAACGACATGGCCATTAAAAAAAGATTTGTACCCGTTGCATGCTTTGAGCTTGAGGAGTTGAGGACATAGGATAATATATATTTATTTAACGAACGCAAGCGAAGGTGTACCCATTAGTATATTATATTATTATTATAATATTATGCGACGCGATGACAAATATTTTACACGGTATAATAATAAGAACAATAGACGTGAGGCGGTATCGTAATATACGCTGTATTATTATTTATTGCACTCGATAGAACGACCGATTTGTATTTAATTTTTACTTTAGAAAGGACACATAATAACACGCGGGCTGTATAGGTATATAAGAATGATAAACCAATTTGATATTTCGTGTACATTAACGAATTACAGCCGATGTACAGAATATAATGCTGCAGCAGAAGGACACAAATTGATGATTTTTGGTACAAATATTTCAAGGTCTGCGTCGGCGTTCGGTTGCAACGTATATATATATATATATATTATATATTTTTCACGGCGATATAATATATATATATAGTGAAATGTATACATACATATTAATATACTATTATGATACGCGCGAAAATTCGCATCTAATAACTCGTCTCGAACTTCTTAATATGGATCATTATTATCGTTAATAACCTTAGAATTCGATCAACGAGTGAATGTAGATCGTATGCTGGGGAGAGACCGTAATTAACTTTAATATCAAAACATTATAACCACGGTACATATTGGCTTTTTGTGTCCCATCACCCAGACTTCCGAGAATCGACACGTCGGACCAACAATCTCTAATTTATTACAGTCAATTATTGTTATTATTATAAACTGTAGATCGATTTGCATATTTAACTTACGAGTAGAGTGTTAAGCGTGTTTTGCAACTAGGAAATATAATATTTTAACGAGTACCTATACAGTCCTATAATAATAGTAATAGTTTCGGTCTTTCACCAACCTGTTGCAGCCCAATAATAGTTGTTAGAACAATAACACATTTATATAATCCACTGATAAATGTGCACATATTATTACCTATTGTATAAATTATAATGTTTGATGTGATATACTCGGTACGAATCGAGAAGTCCGGCGGCGGTTTCTCATTCTAATTAAAATAAATGAAATTAACAAATAACAGAGAAAAAAATAAAAAATAGTTTATATAAGCTTAAACGTCAGACCAAATACGAAACGCGACCGCCGTAGCATGTTTATAGTTGAAATCGGAGCGGTATGGATTATTATATTATATATAAATTATAATATATTATTGCTTTCGATTTGGAGTTCGAAATATTTGCAAACGCCTTACGGGTATTTAACAGTCGAGTACTTTTGCAATAGGTACGCGACAAGCGTAATAATTAACAGCGCAGGTCGCATTTATAGCACCTATACGCACGTATACATTCTGAAGGATTTTAATATTATCATATTTTACATTTTAAATTAAAATATTAAATAAATAAATATATACTATGGACCTAGGACGTATAAGGTGTATGAAGAAATGGTTCAATTTAAAACATCTAAAATTATAATTCGCCGTTTGCCCATGATTACTTGCCTTCCACAAACTAAGACGAAGACAATCATGTATATTATGTATTTTCGGGGCAAAGAATGTGGAATTAACACAACCGACCGAGGAGTCTTCTCATTTATTTATCTTCTGAATAGCATATTTTTACTCACTGTCTGTTTCTTTAATGTAGCTTTGCCAGAGCATATAGCAGTTGTTTAATATTACGAACCAACAACAGACAATTAACATTTATTTTGGAATATATTTTATAACTAATGATTTTTTAAAAATATTTGTTTAGTCATTACAATAACTTAAGTCATAACTGCCATAAATTATTATTTATTATTATATTAAATTACATTACGAATTTCCATCATACATCATCAATTCTTTTCCAAAGTCAATAATAAATACTTATTTTAGCTTCACAATATTTGTATGAGTTCGACCCATCTGAATGGTGGTTGCATTTAATTATTATTGTAAAAATATAAATAAATAAATAAATTGTACAAGACAACTACAACTATGCAGGTGTGTGGATGTCACTCTGATCCTTAAGCACTCCAGTCTCCAAGACAACCTGTACCCAAATCGCGTCTACGTGATCAATTCGGTGTCACCACATTCCAACTATCGGGTAACAACAATAAAAAATGATATTAAAATTTAAAGTAAACCATAAATCGCGATAATTATTACACACAGACATACCAAACTAATTGGTAATTGTGTAATATTTTAATAACACATCGGCATAATTACACCAGAAACTACGAAAAGTGACATATTTGCATTTATTGCAACGACTTCTGTACCACACATAGTTATATAACATACTCTATATAATATAATATAGCTTAGGTTATATATTATATCTGTTGATATTTTGTAACGTTGAACTCTCACCTCTGTACAGCAATTGACTTGGAGGTAACCAACTTTTGTCTTGATCGTACAATATATTGCGATTTGAATGTAGTAAACGGTGGTAAATTGGTTATACAATTAAAAACTTAAAAAATCAAACTTATAGGCATATGCTAACATTTCGTTCCCGTTGCAGGCAAGCCAGGTACGGACTACCCGGTACTGGCCGTGGTGCCGTACACAGACTTCTATTGCGACGATCAACCGTACCCGGGCTTCTTCGCAGACGTGGACACCAGGTGCCAGGCCTGGCACTATTGTGACATCGACGGCCGGCAGGCTTCGTTCCTGTGCCCGAACGGCACGCAGTTCAGCCAGGCCGTGTTCGTGTGTGACTGGTGGTTCAACGTGCGGTGCGACCTTAGCAAGGAGCTGTACCACATCAACGAGCGACTGTACCGGACCACGCCGCGACCGGACAGGCCGCACAGAGTGCTCACCAAGGAGCTGCTCGACCAGATATTCCTCTGATCGGCCACCACACGATTTATATAAATAATATCATAATTGTGTTTAACGCCTATATATATATATTTATAGATACATATAAGTACAGGATTTACGATTTATACTTTTTAAATACGCGATATAACAAGAATTCGATTGATAAGTAAACAAAGTGTATCTGGTTAAATTTTAATTTTAATTGTCTAATTTAAATGTAATTTCCGTAAATAAAACTGTCAAATTTGTCAGATGCACCTCCCCCCCATGCTTCACACTCGGAGCGACGTCTTCTCTCTCCGAAATACTATCAATATCTCATTTAAATAACGTAACGGTTCTTATAATAATTTGTTATATGTACTTATAGATAATTATCCTCGTAATTATCCGACAATAGCTCAAACTAGAAAAGATTAGGTAAGCGGTTTATATAAATAAGCGAGTAAACGCTCAATTTGGTTTTTGCTCCCGCGTAAAATTTTGAAATATATAGGTATGCTATAAATCAATAGTAAACTTTAGAAAGTGACCATGGTGCCTGCGGCTTAATACAGCAACCTGTCAACAGAACGTCCACTGCCACCGCGAACATATCATATTATAATATCGACAATCGCCAAGACCTTTGACGTACATATTTTCTAGAAAACCGCGTACGCCCACAGCGATATCATTTTTACAGCTCGCGACCGTCACACGACTAAAACCGAATAAAATTTAATTTGCACATATTTTAATGCGCATAATACCTATAATGCTACATAATAGTGCACGCCACGGCGAGTGACCCCATATATCGTGACGACAACCGCCCACCAAGCGTACGGCGGTTGACATCCCAACCGGGGGGTCCAAGCCACTCATATCGCCTATAATATGTAATACCCTAACATGATATTAAATGTCAGCTATATGTTCACGAAATATTATCACACCGCGACCGAGATAACATTTATTATTTTTGGTAACCGAAAGTTGTGTACCTACGACTAAAATATTATAAAATATATTATATTGTAGGTCTGCAGGAGCTACTATAATTCGTCAATTCCGAGTATTCCGACCCTATATATTATACACTCTACATAAACACTTCGTTCGCGATAATCTTTCCAACTAGATTATAATATAATATGATCGGAAAAAAAACTTACGATCTGCGCGGTTCATAAAAGAATATTGTTATACTCACGTTAAAGAGAATAATCGTTTCAACTATAGACAGTACCTCTACATGGACACACCATATTAGTGTTGTATGTAAATCGGACGATCTCGCATACCGCGTTTGCATCATTTCTTGTACAACAAGACGCGTACCTACTTACGTATATATAATACTATTGTCTTAAGGTCACAGCTTGTAAATATATTCGTTTTGTTCGCTACAGAAACTATACATGTGTAAATAATTATCATCATATTTCAAAGCTAATAACGATTTCCAAAATGATTGTATTTAAATCGTTACAATATAAATCTATATTCGTATTATACCTACTTAACATATTATATGGACGTTACACACATTATGTGCGCAATTATTGTTATGCGAACAAAGGTCGATGACTATATATTATAATTTATAACATGTCATATTATATATATAAATATTTTTAAATGTCTATTATCTAATAGGCAAATCACCTTTCTAGATAGGTGACATATTTTATCTTTATACAACTTGTTTTTTTTTTACCGCATTTTATATATATTACCTATACCATATTATATTTATTATTTAAGTACTAAATTAATAATTTAAACGAGGAATCCACCGAATACCATATTTTAATAAGAAATATAAATATTTTTGTGATTATACATAGGTATGTTAAAAACATAATATTATATAATATATTTATTTCATTATAGGTAAAACAATAATTTATACATATAATACACATTGTATAAAAGAATTTGCTTTTGTTATTCAAAACTAGATATTTAAAAAAAAAAAGGTTATTGCTGGGTAAATTCTAAATGCTAAATAAATTATAAACGACAAATAGATTTAAGGTGGTTTTAGGCATTAATTCATAACAAATATATATAAATATAAAAAAAAGGTTAGCCTAACCTTTTTTTATAATCCCTGAAACCATACTACGATATTACAGCAGATTTTAGTGCAATTAACAATGTGTGATTTAGTTATTATTATATTACGTTACTACATGTCGAAGAAAGTATGTTATTTAGTATTCAATGTATCAATACACGTTGCACAAACATATACCATATGAAATGTTTAGTTATTTACTTAAGATTTATGTAATCATATTATTATTTTATTTAAAACGGCACATTTTAATCGAACGCACCACAAATTGTATAGTATAATAATATGCTCAAATAACAATAACATAATTTGTAATTTGTAATTGTATATTTTCTGTTAAACACGTACAACTTAGAAATAATATAGAGATAATTATAGTTAGGTATTTAAGAATAATGATTGTTAAGCCCCAACACACATTTTTTGACTATTTAAAAAAACATTATCGAAGCTAATTAAAATTCACTTAACAGAAAAGACGATTGTAGGACAATTTCTGATTTTTGTTAAAATATACCTAACAGAAATATTAAATCTTAAATATTTGTTTTTGAAAAGTACACGGAGTTATTTAAGTTCTGTTTAAACGAAAAGTATTTAAGTTAAGCAACAAAATATATTATATAAAGTTAAGTATTTTATGTTTAAATATTATAATATTATTATATATTATAAATTATTATAATATCTGAAGTTCAATAACTCAATCGATAAATTTAAAAAAAAAAAGTTAACCACATAAATACATAGTGCATGATATAAGAACAAAAATTTAATTTTTAAGTTAATTGAACAATAATACTTTGATCTTTCCCTATTTGAAATATTTTAGTTTACATTTATACATTTTTTGAATAGGCTTACATATATATATATGTCTAACCGTTTAAGAGTTAGGATACATAATAATGTAATTTAATGATTGAACTAATAAATTTAATCTTATAAACAGAACTGAGTTTTTAATGTTAAAAAATTGTCAAAAGATAGTAGGTATACAATGTAACGAGAAATTTGTTATTTTCGGAGATAATTTGTGTTTTAAAACTATGTAATTACCTAAAATTATGTGAGTACAGAAACATCAAATTGAAATTGAAATTGTATTCATCTTACTGTACTAAATATGATCGATTATCCATATTCAGAAAATTTGTGTACTACCATTGATAATGCTGTGAACCAAATTATTAAACACATACTATTATAATATAATATAACTATTTTTAATTTTATAAAAGATAATAGTGATTATTAAATTATATTCATGAATATACCTACATATTATACAATTTATATAAATTTCCTAAAATGATTCTATTACATCGTTCATACGCACTACCAAATACCAATACAGTAATTAAGTAATTCATATACATTGATAGGTACTGTAATATATTATGTAAGTATAGTTAAATTAAGTTACGACAAAAATAAATATTGTAAAATTATTTTATTACTTCATATACCTAGGTACGTGGATAATTAAAAAGTAAGGTTTAGTTAAATATTTGAAAAAAATAAAGTAAGGAATCGTTATAATAATATTTAATCAACAATTTGGTTCACATTTCTCGTAAAATATGGTAATTAATCATTAATTACAGATTATTAAAAAAAATAAATGTTTACAAAATTTCACAATCTCGTACAAATACTTATACAGCTGTACGCGTAGTATAATGTACGGCCGAGTCATCAATTAATACTGCACATACCATATACTACGTTATACAAGCGTTTTACGTTTCACACGATTGCGCTCTCGCCGACCACCTGCAGTAGACCACAGACCCATGGCCGGTACAATCTTCGCTAAGGTCACTGATATGAGACAACAATAATTATTTTTTTTTCAATCCTAATACAACGATAATCGAGAAATCGATACACTATCACGGTGCACTCGTTATATTATGTTAATCGCCAGTGTGTCTTCGTAGTTTTGTCGTGTATACCGGCGGTATCGGGTTATATTATAAATAGGTAAGTACCTATATAAACGCAAACATGTACCGTACACCAACCGATTACTGTGCAAGGCTACTGCTAACACGTACAAAAGTAAGTGTAGGCAAAGGCAGCGGATCTAGCCCGAGATATTTGACATATAGATTTTGAAATTACATAATTTCTTCTTGAAAACAACAGATGGTTTAAGAAAAAGTATAATCACCCAAATATAAACATATTTATCAGTCTCGACGATCAACAGTTTTCAAAGATAATAATATATCCACAGACGGTTCGTCATACAGGTTTTTAGATCTTATAATGAGCGTTGAAAATATAATATCTGTTATAATAACAGAACTGACGTCTAAAGCCAACATATTAAATACTGTTATGAACTCCCGAATATTATGTGAATATCACATGATTTTTTTAACGTTAATAATAAGGTTCATTTAAATTGTAAAATATAAAAAGTGTGTTGGACGATGCCGCGACAGTGCTGGATCCGCTGAATAAGGGTTTTGCGAAGTTGGACTCAGTACCTACCTCTGACGGCGGTTAAAAAGAATCCCTTTTAACCAATTAGGATTAACATGTGCTTACAAAATCATATATTTTATATGCATTAGGCATTATACATACAACACGTGAAACACTTAAAACTATATGGAGGCATTAGTCTCTCCGGAAATTTTTTCCCACTTTAAGCCCTGAGAAAACATATAAGAAACGCTACATCCAAATATCCAAGGCTACCGGACGACTTTAAATTTCAACAAAACTGAATCTAATAAACGTAATATAGTAATTTTAATGACTGTCAAACCACAAGCCCAAAGCAAATCTATAATATATGGAATAAAAAATCGCTCCCAACAGACGAATTTTCAAGTAAAATCGTCACCGTTCAAGATAAGATCGGTTGTATGTAATTTATTTTTTATATAAGAATAAGATTTAAAATAATTCCAATTTCTGGAAAAAATATATCTAACATAAACCTACC